TCGTAATACATCATCCCGCAACTAACTCATTAGTTGCAATGCTTGCAAGGCTTATAGTGATGTGCATTACCGAGTGAGCCCAGAGATACCTCTCCGACAATCGGAGTGACAAATCCTAATCTCGAAATACGCCAACCCAACAAGTACCTTCGGAGACACCTGTAGAGCACATTTATAATCACCCAGTTACGTTGTGACGTTTGGTAGCACACAAAGTGTTCCTCCGGTAAATAGGAGTTGCATAATCTCATAGTCATAGGAACATGTATAAGTCATGAAGAAAGCAATAGCAATAAACTAAACGATCAAGTGTTATGCTAACGGAATGGGTCAAGTCAATCACATCATTCTCCTAATGATGTGATCCCGTTAATCAAATGACAACTCTTTGTCTATGGCTAGGAAACATAATCATCTTTGATCAATGAGCTAGTCAAGTAGAGACATACTAGTGACACTCTATTTGTCTATGTATTCACACATGTATCATGTTTCCGGTTAATACAATTCTAGCATGAATAATAAACATTTATCATGATATAAGGAAATAAATAATAACTTTATTATTGCCTCTAGGGCATATTTCCTTCACTTAGATTACCATCGAAAATCTTAAAATTGCCAAGGAAACTAAAATTTGGGAAAAGAGTCCTTTTTCTTAGTTGTCTATTCATCCCACCCCCCTCTAGACATACGTATCGATCCTACAATCCACAAGAGAACGGTTCGTCGCAATTCCAGGAGTGTGGTCACATATGCTTCAATGTTTCCCCGAGAAAGGGAGAGGATAGAGAGTGTGAACTACATCTACATTCGTAATGATGCAAAGGTTTGGACATGCTAGAAATGAGAAGGGCTCCCTTTGCCCAACTGGTGAAGGCGTTTAGGGAAAAGTTGTTGTTAAAAGATAGCATCCACACCTTTGTGAAACTACAAGTGTAGCAATGTTCCTTCATGTTGTAGGTCATAACCAAAGGTTCAGAGTGATAACACATTCAGGTATCCTTGTATTTCAAGTAGGTCTTCTCTGCGATTAGAGAGCTGAGAGGAAAGATAATTAAATCACATGTTGGTCTAACTCGTTGAAGATATGAACGAGCTGCAAATGGTATCGATATTTCAAGGGGAGCAATACTAACTGTTAGTTCATGCCATGACATGATTGTATTGTTCTAAACCATACATGTTTGTTCATGCCATCATAGGATTGTATTGGCACAATTGATGCTAGAGTGCAAGGTCACAAGCTACAACATATGGGGATACCAAGCACAACACTAGCTAGAATATGCTTCTTGATGTTGATTTCGATCTCAAGTTCACATATATGTTAGCTGGTTGGGAAGGATCAACCCGTGATGCAAACATTCTTGCTTAAAACATGGCTCGACCTAATGGGATCAATATCCTTGATGATAAGTTCTACCTAGAAGATGTTGGATATGCAAGTCAGCCGGGTACGTCGCTCCCACACATTTGGCGACCATTCGTCTAACTTCAGAGAACAAGAGCTATTTCCACTTAGGGTTGGCTCAAATTGGTTGGAGGTGGCCGGGAGTGCTCAAAGGATGCAAATTTAGACAAAGAGTTGGGTGCAAAGGGGGACACAACATTATGTATAAATCTATATCCAAGATAAGAATTACATGACTTTAATACACCTATGATCTCCGAGTGAGCAACCACGAGCAGTTGAGCCAACATCCATGGAGAATCTGAGCCATCAATCACAGATTGTTTGGGGGTACTATGTTCTAGTAGGTCAACAACTTGGTCAAACCAACTTCAATAGGGGAAAACAACATCCGGATAGTACGGGGCATAAGCCCCGAATAGTCCGACTGTGAACATTCTTGGCATTAGCCCCGATAGTTCGGCAAGGGAAGCGAGCGAGGCCAGATACTCCCAGACATAGGTTTGGTTTGGACACTCCGAGATTTACTACTCAGGTAGCCCACCTCACAGAGCAACCAACCCTAAACATAGGTCCAAACAATGCTCTAAATATCGACGATTAATGCACCGTCGATCTTACTATCTATGTTTAGTTGTGGAAGGAAGTAGAGGGATGGGTGATGCCCAAAGGGAACTCACCAACGATGAAGGTGGCATGGTGATTTTACCAGGTTCATGCCCCAAATGGGTAATAGCACTACATCTTGCCTATATATCTTTATTGATCAATGAAGGGATTATAGTAGTGTTGAACTCATCCAAAGCACTAGATTATGCACATAATGCTTTCCATGTGTCTTTATCCTTTGGGAGGGCCTATCATGTCCCTTGTATAGGCAGGCAGGAGCCAGTTGTTCGGTAGCTATCTTCATGGAATATGATACAATTAGGTGATCCACTACTATGGGGAATGTTCTCCCATAATTGCCAGATCCCCGACATAGTTCACATGTGCTTATCCTCTACGAGTGTCTATCGGGTGCATGACTTGGGAATCCGTAGAAACTCGTCTGAGTAGGTATCCTTACCATCAACAAACGCCCTAGCGCCCTTATTCATATCCATCACACTAGGGTTCACACCCCACATAGTCTAGCGTCCCGTTGTTTTCAGCTCAAAATCGACTTATGATTTGTTTTTTTTCCTTTTTGTAGCGAGAAAAGATAGAGCAATGATCACTTATTGTTCACCTCGAACACCTCCTCTAAAATAGTGTGGCTTTTGTGACTCAATAATATCACCAACACACAATATACTTCTCGGAAGCCTAAAGTTTTCCTTCTTTTCCTTTTTCACTTGTGATAATCAATCTTGTTCATACACTTCACACATACTAGTCCCTTGATTTCTCATCATTAATTACTAAAATCTAACTATGGGCCTCGATGTCATTAAAAAGTGTACTAGCAGTGGAGAATATCAAAGTTACAAATGGTTGCTTAAGTTATTAGATGAGAACATGGTGTGGCAAGAGCTACTATGAAACAAATACTTCCGCTCTAAAACATTATCACAACTTGTTTTGAAGCCCTATGATTCCGACTAAAGTGGATCAAATATGATTTCTTCTACCGTATGAATGGCACTAACACACGTTTTTAGAAACTCATGGCTGGTTGATTGTCCACTTAGTGAGCACTATCCAACATTGTTTAGAGAAAACATGTTGAATGTTAACTAGCAGATGCTATAACGGGGGTTTCGGTGAATGTTAGCTTTGACAAACACTAACTAGTGAGAATGGCCTTCATGGTTAATTTGGTTCAGTGGTTAATGTAGTCAACTTAACAGGTAGCTAGATGTAGAAATGTTTCGTTGGATGCACAATGCTTCTTATTTTTCCTCGGTCAAACCAACGAAAGCCGAATTATTACTTCCTTCATTCAGAAGTGTTGCTATTGCAATATGGAGGAAACAATTCAATATTTGTTTCTCTCCTGTCCTTTCGCATGCTTTTGAGTCAGACTGTGTTCGTGGCTCCTGCCCTCGCTGATATTTTTCTCAAATGTGTTTAAGAATCGGTTATAGGGGGCAAATAGACAGCTTAAGGTTCAAATCCAGGTAGGCATGTGTGCTTTATATATACGTCCCTGTTGTAATGATAATTTTCTAAAAAAAATAGTTCCAAATTTGTATAGGTTTACTCGCTACAATGTGTGGAGACATGTGATTCTTTGGTCTCTCTGTGTGCCACTTGGATGGTGGTAGTTCGGGTTATGTTCAACCGGTGAGTTAGGTTCAACCGGTTTGAATGAAGGTCTAGCAATAGGATTAATGTTGCATGAGTGTAATATGTAACATGTTGTTCTTCCCTCTAAGACTAGTTCTCTATTTCAATTTTTTATAGATTGGTACTTTGCAACAATGAAGATTACTTCGCTTACATTAACCGATGTGGAGTTTCTCTGTTTTCCGGAAAAAGAGCTACTGAATTTTTCTGTAACATGCTTTAACTTCTGGAGTCATACAGACTCATTGGAAAAATTATAGTACATGCTTGGTTGTGATGAACCTTCTATCCTTATATTTGTGGTCGGTGCGATGAACTTGGGGGTATCAACACCTTGTGTTTTGAATGCCAAGTTGGTACCTGACAATCTTCATTCTGGTCAAACTAACGATGCGCATAAACTAGCAGGAAGATTCTTCTAGTGGATGCGGGAACCCAATGATGAGCTTCAGGTGGGTTATTTATCTACCAACGACTGATGATAAGCAGCAGCATCTAGTGCCATGTGGTGGTGCCACACAAACATGTGACTTGCACAATTCCTAACTCCTAGCGGTTGATGGCATCCATGAGAGGCACATGGAGGTTCAGCGGTTGCATTGTTGTTGAACCATCGCATTAGAATTTCAGATTTCCCTGCTCCCCAAGCTGCAGTAAGGAGATCTCTTTTGAAATCTCAGTATCCATCTTCTTCTTCTTTTTTCCTTTTTTTTGCCTTCCAAACTTGACATTTGAAGAAAGCCAGATCAAGAATCAGCATTGTGATCGGTTGATACTATCACTGAACCCATAAGTTTCCAATATTCAAAATCTGCATCGTCCCAACCTCGTGAAAGAAGAGATACTACTGTATCACTTGCGCTTTCCCTGACAGTTTCCGAAGGCCTGCAAACTGCCAAGAGTTAAAATTCTCAGTGGAAGGTGTCTCAGTTGTCAGTCGCTGAACTGAGGAGAAGCACTAAAGAAGTAGGGCGCTGTCTCGATCGGAGATATCGTTGTTGGTTGGACGGCGGCGCTCGGATCGCGAGCCATGTGATCACGTTGCCCTATGGGGAGTAGCTGACAGTATCTGAGGAAGGCGAGGCAGTTGCCAACGAACTTCTCTTCATGACCGGTCAAACGCACACACAAAGATGGCAGCTCCTGCAAATCTGCTCCGGTTTTGGCATCCCAAGCTCCCAGCCGAGCACCTATAAAAGGAGGCTCATGGCATACCTTTCTTCCACAGCTGCATTAGCAATTTAGCATTGGACAAGTGCACTTCTTCAGTGATCTTCTAGTGTTTGTGAGTTGTGACGTACGCAAGGTTCAGTTCATGGCGAACGTGAGCATCTCGAAGCCGGCCAAGCGCCTGACGGGAAAGAGCAGCTTCAGGTTCGGCTTGCCGCTGTTCTGTGGCCGGTCTGACGTGGCGAGCCCCGGTGCTGCCGTCGCTCGGTCGTCCTCGAGCAGGAGGTCGTCCGGCACCGGCAGCAGCAGGAAGTCGGAGCTGCGCAGGATCTTCCAGCACTTCGATAGGGACAACGACGGGAAGATCTCCGGCGCTGAGCTGAGCGCCTTCTTCGCGTCCATGGGCGACGACCTGACGGTGCCGTCCTCGTCGTCGGAAGGCGGGTACCTGCTCGACTTCGCCGGATTCGTGGCGCTGATGGAGAGGGGGGAGGGCAGCCAGGAGGAGGACCTGAGGAGGGCGTTCGAGGTGTTCAACGCCGTGGACCAGCCCGCCGGGAGGATCACGGCCAGGGGGCTGCGGCGGGTGCTCGCCCAGCTCGGCGACGACCGGTCCGTCACCGACTGCGAGGCCATGATACGGGCCTACGACGTCGACGGCGACGGCGGCCTCGACTTCCATGAGTTCCAGAGGATGATGAGCTAGCTGGCTAGCTAGGTAGAGCTGGCTTCATGCCAGTGGTGGTTGTTCATACTCTACATTGCATCCAGATGAGCCCATGCAGATCGTTACAGATTTGCTATCTCATCTTGTGTTGTTTGGTGTCTCACAAGTGACACCATTGTATCAATGAAGCTATACTCTTGATTTATTTTTCTTCAGTATTTTTTTTTTACAGAAGACTGTGTTTTCTCCAGAGCTTCATCTCTGCGAAATGGCTGTAAGGGAGTGAAAAATGAGAAGTTCCATGAACAAAAATTGACACATTTCACTGTGGTGCACCGTTTGAAATTTTAGATGGGAATAGCCGAAGAGGTCTGGTCTTCTCATCTGGAAGGCTGAGTTAATAACACTGACTTAGCAGGAAGCTGCAAGGTAGCTCAGCATTTACAGAATCCCAGGCATATATACTATTGAAGCAAGATTCAGTTACTTTCTCCCCCAAATCTTACACAGTATCACAATACAATTAAGATTTACAATTGCATCACAATCATTCAGCTTCTTTCTACACGTGAGCCGTAATATGTCTGTTGATCCTCTAACAGATAGCGTCAATATAATCGACCCGATGCCTTCTGTGACAGGTACATACAAAACCTAATAATTACTAGTATGTATATACGTGCAATGCTGTCTTAAATTACAGAGTGGTTTTAGTTACAAAATCACAAATGTCATTATACAAATGCAGAAATTAAGTATAACAAAAGTACCCTTATATTTCTTTATAGAGGAGTAGTACACAATCGCACTGATGGTGACACATAGAAGAAATATAAAGTGGTATTCTACTCTCTCTCCCATTAACCTAACCAGACCATCTCGCTTGGGCTTAATGTCTCCTCTGCTCAGGCTGCAACATGGCCCAGGAGGCATTAGTTATGGGTTTTTCCTTTCCCAGGAAGGATGGGACGCGATGGTTCTACAATAGGATGGAGACATCCATGTTTTACTGTTCACTAGAACATGTAGGCGCGCGTTGCCGCGTCCGTTCATTTTCAGAAAAGAATTATATAATTGGTTGAAATTTGTAGATTGTTGCAACACACTATAAAATTCAGATAGTTCATATTACATTGTATGCATATAAGAAATGAAAACCAGACACAAAATAGTACATACAAGCAGACAACTAATTATAATTAATATAGTCTGGACATATGTAAGAACTTAACTTTTTGGAACGCGATTGAAAACCAAAAGTCAGTGATAAGAGTTTATTATTGAAAAACTGGTATTTTCAACAGATATGCTAATAAAATTTTTTTTGATACAGTTAGGATCAAAGGACCGCCCATTATCATACAGTAATGTATACATTTCAATGCAGCTATAAATAAAAAGGCAGAAAATAGTAATTACATTATCCCTTGCATATACGCTAGAGTAGTGGAAAGTCTGATATAATATGCATTTGAATTGTAAGGATTCAATAATTCTTTTGTAGCTGAAATCCAAATTATAAGACATTTATATCTTATTAAGGATGAAAAAAGAATTTTGATATATCACATGAACCTATAAGCACAAGAGCCAAAGGCATGCCAACTTGGGAGAGGCCACGAAATATAGTACTCCCTCCGTTCGTTTTTATAAGGCGTTTCAGACAGCTGAGTTTGAACTGTTTAGTACACTGCCTGAATTTACTAAAACGTCTTATATAAGTGAACAGAGGGAGTAAAAACCATTCGGGAGGGGATGTAACATATCTTTAGCTTTTTCCAATGAAGACATTAGTACGAAATTGACACTTGGCATGATCATACTTCCCAGTAGTAGACCCACGTGATTAGAAATCAATCAGCAAGGAAAAGCAATATAACCATCAGCACAAGAATGAACATATAATGTGCGCCCGCTTCACGTGCAACCAGCCGGACCCTAGGAGCATCTCTACCTGTGGATTTCGCGGCAATGTGCCAACGCCTTGAGCACATAGCTTGTGCTACCGGCGGCACCGTCTCGATTTGGTCATCAAGAATGCCACTGCCGTCACCTCATCATTCTTTTACATCCTCCCGGTAAATCAACGACCATCATGCGGAAGAGACTATAGGGTGAGTGGAGGGCACCGAGGCAGTCGCGCAGTAGAGGAGCAGTGGAGGCAGACGCGCTTGCCCACGGGACGTAGGACGGCGGCGGCGCTTTGCGGACGAACGAACAGAGGAGCAGCGGGGGATATCGCTGGGAACAGAAAACCTGGACGACTGGCCTGTTAGCGTGTGAATGGGTTTGCACTTTCGACTGGGCTTATCTACGGCCCAGTTAACGTGAGACTGTGGAGCAGCGGCCGGTGAAACGGCCTTAGCACGTGAACTACGAAATCATGTGCGTACGTTACAGCAAATCAGCGATCCGAAGGCTGGGAGCTCCAAATGGCTGTGAAGGCTCGCAGGTAGCTGAGTCTTACTGTTTAGTAATCAGTTAGATTTAGCAGATCAATGGTTAGGATTGATCTATAGGTCCAATTCACAACTGTTACACTATATAGTACTCCCTCTGTTCCTAAATACTTGTCTTTCTAGGCATTTCAACAAATGACTACATACGGAGCAAAATGAGTGAATCTACATTCTAAAATATGTCTACATACATCCGTATGTAGTAGTCATTTGAAATGTGTAGAAAGACAAGTATTTAGGAACGGAGGGAGTAGTATAGATTCGACAGAACTAATGTACACGTTGAATAATAGAATATTAGCAACAACAACAAAAAAGTGCATGTGTGCCAAAGTTTCTACGTTGATTGGTCGTCCTAATAGATGGTAGATCTATCTTTGCCTCTATAATTCTCGTCCCACCGATTTCTCCATACATCGGGAAACACATGGTGCCATGTGAGGCTATGAGTGCCCCTTCGTGCCCTTAGTTGTAGTGTGGTGTTAGGATCACTACGGGTGGGCCACCACCCGACGGTGTCACCTAGTTACCTCCGGGCTAGGACTTAGCCATTTTTTCCATCATTTTCGTAGGTGTTCTGTCAACCTCAGTACTTCTGAGCACCTGATTGTGCGGTGGCAGAAACATGCTATCCTTTATTTGGTACCTTCAAACCCGTTTTCATCTAGTACCTTCGAGCTATTTGATATCATAGGTGTTTCTCGATACACTACAAGAAATATGTCAACTAGTGATCTTCTGTCAGTGACCCTGAAAAAATTGGTCATAGATCTATGACCATTTGAGACCAATTGGTCAAAAGCTGTTCGGCGGCTCCAAACCCTAAACTATATCGACCATTTTGATCAGAAAAGTCATAATTTCCTTACACGAAATGGTCATAAAGCAGACAACACTAGTCTGCTGCCTTATTTCTAGCTGATCATGACCAATATAGATGGTCATAACCTTGTAAATTGTGGTGGGTTGGTATGACTTGGCGCCACCTCGTCAATTTTGCCTATGTGTCATGTCCATGTGTCAATTTTTGCCCTAGGTTGTGAAGCAACCTATATTTCTGTCATTCTCAAAATTCCTAAAAATATATCATAAATTCTTTGGGTCATATCTCCATCAAATATGTAAAAATCCTTCCTTGCCTAGTTCAAAAATAATTCAACAATATTCATTTTCCTATTCTGTTCACAACAGCACTTTATGAAGGAAGTGCTATTTATATATTCTTGATTGCCCTTGAAATTTTTGGGCACTTTTTCCTATCCAAATCATTGCCTCATGACAAAATTTAGCTCCATTCTCCTAGCAAATCTTCCTCAGCAAATTTTCAAAGTTTTTGTCCACCTAAAAGCATTGTGAAGGAAGTACCTTTTTTATATATCCAAATGACATGAAATTTATACGGTTCCTTCATATGCCTAAATTATCACCCTCCTCCAAATTGAAGCTCATTCAAATCATCTACGTGAGCCCAGGTTTAATTTATATTTTATGGACAGATTTGCACGTTGCAAAGCAAGTGTTATCTAGAACCTCCTATTACCCTCAAATTTTTTGGGCATTCTTCCATACCCAAATCATCGCCACATGATAATATTCAGCTCCATTTTCCTGGTAAATCTTTCTCTGGAAATTTCCAAAGTTTCTACCTCGAGATAAGCTTTATGAAGTAAGTAGTAGCTACGCTTACCCAAATGATCTGAAAATTTACAAGCGCATGACCATACCTATGTAACTTACCTACACCAAATTTGAGATCATTTCATTCATCCAATTTCTCTCACTAATTTTCCCAAGTTTTTGTCCAAAGAAGAGCATTGTGAAGGAAGTACCACTTTGGCATGTCCAAATGGTATCAATTTTCTACAGTGTTTCCTATGCCCAAATAACCATCCTCCACCAAATTTCAACTCAATCCATTCATTATTTTGAGCCCAACTTCAACATTCATATTTTTGTCCAGTGTGGTACTTTGCAAAGCAAGTACCACCTAGGATCCTCCTTTTGAGCTGAAAATTTGTGAAGACATTCCTCTTAGTAGATGATCATACTTAGCCAAAACTCACGCCCATTGGTCATGTGCATTTCCCATACCGCTAATCAAACACTTGGTTGCTAATTCATCTTTGAGCATAGGTCGGTCTCCTCGTGAGATACTTCTGTTGTAATTTTCTTCCTAACACCTACCTGGGGAGTTCCCAACCCACTAGACATGTCTAGACCTCCCAGAACGCATGTCAACGCCAAGGTCACGCGGTGACCACGCGACGGGCATGCGAGTTTACACGCTTTGGAGTTGGGGCCTTGGGCCACCATCCCAAACTCGACGTATCGCCACCAAACCATGTATTTATTCTTAAATAGATACTTATATACCTAGAAATGATTTTTGGGAAAAATAAAGAGCAAACAATAAGGTAGCTGCAGTTCAAATTTGACCCGCTTCCTATTGAATCGCAGAAATTTATCTTTTTCACCAGAGGTGGATCAAGACTTTTGACACCCAACCATTTTGTTAATTATGCATTAAATATGTCCTAGTATTTTATAAAATTGATTTGGTCCAATTTTTCAACAAATATA